TGAAGATAAAGATCAGGGCACGACACGCAAACCTCCTTAAAACTCCAGGAGCTTAAAACACAGAGGGGAAGGCTGTAGAATAAGAGAAAAAGGCCAGCCCCGAAACATTGCCTGCATTCAGTTGTGGAAAGAGGGAGGGAGGGCTAGTGAAAAACTCTGAAAACAGGAGGTCAGAATGTGCAGAGTGTTAAAAGTGTCCAGGCCGCGAAGGATTTCAAAAGTGTTAAAAGCTTCTGTGCCTTCGAGCAGGGCGGATACGGAAATGAAATAACTGAATTTTGCCAATAGGAGATAAGGGGATGTTTTATATTATTGTTCACTTCGGTAGCCACTAGGCCACAGGCAGCTATTTAAATTTTTAAACATTCAAACTTCGGTTTCGCAGCTGCACTAGCCATGCCTGAAACGCTCGGAGCCTGCCGGTGCCCGTGGCCGTCACCTTGCACAACCCTCTTCCATCCATCCCTACGATTCAGGAGAAAAGATGCACAAAGAGGCCAAGAAGGGGGGCATTCCTGAGGGACCAAGGGCAACAAACACGCTTGACCGTGTCCATCTGGGGAGCTACCCCAAAAAACCTGCACTCCCGACCCTTACTATTTCCCCAAGTAACGGAGAGAGACCCACAGGCTCAAGTCCCAGAGTAGAGACTCGACCTGCAGCTCCGGGAGGCGAAGGGGATTGTGGGAGCGCCCCCGCCGCCCCGCAGGCTCCTGGGAAATGTAGTGCAGTCCTCTCCAACATGGCTGCGCCCAGGTGAGGCTCGCGGCGAGGGCCGGCCGCAGCTTTCCGGGCTAGAGTGGAGTGGCTGGCGAAGGAGAGAGCCCCCGCGCGGCGAGGACCCCGCCAGAGCCGAGGCGGAGGTTTGTGGCACTTCTTACTGGCAGCATGACGACCGCGACTGGTCGCTTTCTCTTGTCGGCCTGTTCGGGTCTCTGGGCCTCTCCGCGCTGGGCTGAGAACCTGGGGAAAGGCGGGGGGCGCCCGGGGCGTTACTCTGTGCGGTCGCCGGGCAGGAGGTGGTTCCGTTGGGCGGTCCTGTCAGTGTTTGAAGTGCAAGTGTTTGTGTTTGGTGCGGCTGCTCACGTGGTGTCCGCCTCCATCTTCTGTTTCCTCTCGGAACCCGCTGTTGCAACCCGCGCTTCTTGCGCTTCTTGCGCTTCTTGCGCTTCTTGCGCTTCTTGCGCTTCTTGCGCTTCTTGCGCTTCTTGCGCTTCTTGCGCTTCTTGCGCTTCTTGCGCTTCTTGCGCTTCTTGCGCTTCTTGCGCTTCTTGCGCTTCTTGCGCTTCTTGCGCTTCTTGCGCTTCTTGCGCTTCTTGCGCTTCTTGCGCTTCTTGCGCTTCTTGCGCTTCTTGCGCTTCTTGCGCTTCTTGCGCTTCTTGCGCTTCTTGCGCTTCTTGCGCTTCTTGCGCTTCTTGCGCTTCTTGCGCTTCTTGCGCTTCTTGCGCTTCTTGCGCTTCTTGCGCTTCTTGCGCTTCTTGCGCTTCTTGCGCTTCTTGCGCTTCTTGCGCTTCTTGCGCTTCTTGCGCTTCTTGCGCTTCTTGCGCTTCTTGCGCTTCTTGCGCTTCTTGCGCTTCTTGCGCTTCTTGCGCTTCTTGCGCTTCTTGCGCTTCTTGCGCTTCTTGCGCTTCTTGCGCTTCTTGCGCTTCTTGCGCTTCTTGCGCTTCTTGCGCTTCTTGCGCTTCTTGCGCTTCTTGCGCTTCTTGCGCTTCTTGCGCTTCTTGCGCTTCTTGCGCTTCTTGCGCTTCTTGCGCTTCTTGCGCTTCTTGCGCTTCTTGCGCTTCCTGACCCCTGCCCATCCAGGGAAGAAAAGGCATTGCTAGCAGTCAGGTAGAGCACAGAGGAACCTTCCTGGGCTCTGATTTGCGTAATCCCAGGGACAGCCTGTGCTTTTGATTTCAGTTAACACACCTACTGGGCGCCTGCTGGGCGCCAGGCACTCAGGTCTGTGCCCTCAAGTGGATGACAGCCTTCTGGGTGAGCGCAGCACACAGGTAACATTATCCCACAGTGTGGTAACTGCAGAGAAAGAGAGAGATGTAGCCCAAGTATTAGTGAAAACATGGAAGGAGGCCACTGAGCTCAGATTTCTGAAGAAAAGGTTCAGGAGGTAAGATGGCAGGGTTAGTAAGCTTAACAAGTTTAGGCTTACTCAGTAAAAGTTTATTAGGTGCTAGATCCTGTTCTAGGTGCCCCGTGCAACAGGGTGAACCATCCAGACAAAATTTCTTCTTTCATGGAGCTTACTCTCTAGTAAATTAGAGGAGGGAGATGGAGAGTGAACAAATTAATGAGGGCATGAAAATATAGAGGTGTTCAAAGAGTTAAAATGGGGTGATATGAAAAAATGATGAGGTCAGTTTTTTCTAATCGTACCAAATTAAAAAAAAATTAATAGGTAATGCAATTTGAATAGCTACTGAATTCAAAAGTTACAAAAGAGGAAAGCTCCCTTTCATTCCCATATCCATTTCCGCTTCCTGGAGGCAACCCATGTCACTAATTTCTTGTATGTCCTAGAGATTTGTGTGTATACCTTGTGTATCTGGCCTATACTTCATAATTAGGCTTCATTTGATAGGAATTAAAAGTTTTTTCTAACCTTTGCTATTAATTAAGTATAATTTATATACAAGCACAAGAACATTTATTTATAGTGCTTGGCTCATTATAGGCATTCTGTTATCCAAGGAGGGTATGGACACACTACTGTTACCATTTAGGGCAATATCCGATTTGATATATTGGGGTTTAAATTACTAGCAGAGCACGTGTGATCTCTAAACTTTTGTTATCCTACAGAGAGCGTGCTTAGGCTGGACTTGGTTAGACTTGACTCTCATAGCTAGCATTCCAGTAAATAGAGACCTCACTCCTGCAACATCCCATAACACTCCTGTAACATGGCAAGGAGCATCTGGGCCTTTGTGCAATAGTGGAAATTCCTTGGCCAGGGAAATGGCTTTGTTAGAAAGGCAGCACCTCCAGACCTCAGCAACTGGTATTGGCCTACTCCCTGTTGAAGTGACTCAGACTTGCTGGACCAGTGCATTGCCAAGTCACTGGAGTGGGGAACAAATCAGCCTCCAGAGCTATTGGGACTTGGTGGGTTTTTTTCATGTGTAATAATGACATTGCATGACTGAGGGAAGGAGAAGGCAAAGGGAATGATAGAAATGTGATTACGAGGCCCCATCTGCTGGTGCTGGACTCTTAATGTGAGACTTTTAAAAAGATATATGCAACATCTTTCTTTCTCATTTCTTCCACTTTGTAGTCTTTGCTCATGTGACATATGAAGAAAAACATTCTTAGCACATTCATCCCTTGTTCTCGATTGCCTGCTGCAAAGATGCCATTCCAAAGATGATGACCTTGGAATGGAAAGGCAGTAAGAAGGTTGCTTTGAGGGTCCTCACCTTTTCTCTCCTTCTTAAACCATTCTGATCTGGCTCTTCTGGAAATTAACAGTAATTTAGTAATAGATGTATTTAATCCCTTTAACAAAGTTATGAGGTAGTGTCAAAGATTAAGACAGCCAGACATTAGTGAAAGCAGTGGAAACATTTTATTTAGTAACTACTGACAGTAGAGGAAAGAGCTGCACAAACCCATTTTGATTTGTGCAGAACTGATTTGGGTGTTTTAATGAGAGAATGGGGAGGGGGTAGAACGGGGCGCTCAGTAGAGTTAGAGACATGAAAATATACAAAAGGTTGGTCAGTGCAAATGCAGCTAGGCCAGCTGTGTTTGCTGCTGGCAGTTACCAAAGTTTGGATTCTGTCCTGCCACAGGGACTGACAGACAGGCCGGCCCTATCATTTCTGATGATTATATTTCAAAGGAATGGTTCTTAGAGACACTTCTGAGCTGCAAGAGATACATATTCACAACTGTAAGCCCTTTTTAGTGAGTGCTCTAAGAAAGGGAGGTGAAGGGCCTATGGTCACGTGTTGCTAGGATGAAGGGTAAAATTTCCTGGCAGCATTTTGAGTTTTTTCAGGCAGGCATTCTAATGGGTAGCTGGGATCATCCTAGGGACACAGCTTATGCTGCTGAAGCCATGCTAGAGTTTGGTCAAAGTTTTTAGTACAGGGTTTGAATGGAATTATGTGCCAAGAATAGGCACTACTATTGGTATTTTATAGGTGAAGAAACCTAAGCACAGAAATAATTAACTCACACAGGATCGGCTTGAGTGGTAGAGCTGAGATGTGAACCTAGAACCTGGACCCTTAAACACTGTTGTTATACTGTCTCATAGCATTGCAGGAGGCTCTGGGGAAATAAACCAAAAAAATACAATGTAACCCCTGTTTTCAAAGAGTATAGTCCAGTGGAAGGGGACAAACATTAGAATAAACCATTATAATTAGTGCAATGTTAAAAATATCCATTTAGCTACCTCCTTCCTGTCTAGTGTTGACTCCTAGAACTTTCTGACCTCATTCCCTTCCCCTTTTAACACTCCCTGGCTTAAGAAATACCTTTGATGACTGGATGTATTCCTTTCATATCACATTCCTCTCTCCTCTCCCAGAAAAACTTCTCTCCTGAACTTTGTGTTTATCATGTCCTTGCTTTTCTTTGCATTTTGCTACATATATTTCTAAACAATATATGCCTTACTTTTGGGTTTTGAACTTTATGTAAATGGAATCATGCTGTATATTCTGTGAAATTTTTGTTTTGTTTATTTTTAAAAAATATGCTTCTATTGATTTCAGAGAAAGCAAGGGAGAGGGAGAGACAGAAACATCAGTGATGAGAGTCATTGATCGGCTGCCTCCTGCACACCCCCTACTGAGGATTGAGCCTGAAACCCAAGCATGGTCCCTGACTGGGAATTGAACTGTGACCTCCTGGTTCATAGGTCGACTCTCAACCACTGAGCCATGCCTGCTGGGATGTTTTATTTCTTCTTTTTTTCTTTCCTAACATGATGTTTGTGAAATTTGTCTGTGGCACATTTTACCTAGAACTTCATAGTAAAGGGATCATCACCTATGGTAAAATAGCTCACTTCATAGAGCTAGAGCATTGGGATGTTTTGTAGAGCCCCATAGAATGCTATTGGATGTTCTTGCCTCTTTGTTACCTTCTTTATTGTCCATGCATCTGTTTGTTCTCACTTCTCTTGGTTGGTAAAAGGCCAAGAAAGCATTTTAAAAAATTGTTACATAGAAATATTTATAAACTATAGAGTATATGAATAGCATCATTATAGCTGTCTCTTCAGGACTCTTAAGGTTGACATTTTGTATTTCTTTTTTTTTCAGTATTGCCATGGATAGCAACCATGAAAAGAATTGCAAACTCAGTAAAACTGAGAAGAAGTTCTTAAGGAAACAGATTAAAGCCAGGCATACTTTGCTGAGACATGAAGGCATTGAAACAGTATCCTGTGCCACTCAGGTGACCTAAGACTGCTATTATCATTTGAATGCAAATGTATTGCCATGTTAACATGTTAGAGTAATATTTGTTAATAATTGCTCAGAGAAGAAGGCTGTTATTTTTCAGTCATATATTACATCTATATTAAATATACATGTTAGGACTTGCTAACTTTCTATTTTTGGGCATAGCTTTATATAGTTTGAATTTCCGTTGATTGTGTTGGTTGAATGAGAGGAAGTTGTGGGTATGTATTAACTGTACAACTCTTTACAGTTTATAAAGCATACTTATATTCATTATTATATTTAATTCCCTGAAAATCCTTATGAGATAGATGGGAAAACGAAGGCTTTGAGAGGTTGTGATGTGTCTATTGATATTAGGTGGTTCAACCTAAAGCTAGATCTTTTGTAGTCTTTCTTTTCTTCCTAACTTCCTCTGTACTATAAAGTATTTTTATTATATGCTATAAAACATTTTTTATTTATTAGATTTTATTTACAAAGCCTTTTCATTATGGCAATAATTAAATTATATGTATATATATATTTGGACATGAGCAGCATCCTTTGACTTCAGCGTTCTTCATTTGTGAGGACATAGTATTGCATACTTTTTTATCCCAGTGGATTGTTAGGCTCTAAAGAGATGTGTATGTGACAGTACTTATTAGTCATTATGGTACCATATGAATATAAGGTATTCTTATGATATCGGATAAGAGTAGGAAGGAAGCTCAGCTGTCATTTAACCAAGGGCCAAAGACAAACAGCCGAGAAGGTGAAGGTGGGATTAAAATGTAGGCCTCCTGACTCAGACCGATGCTCTTCCCTCGTACCATGCGTATGCTGTGCTCTGTGCTGCATCGTCGCTAGGAAGGAGCACTGTGCTGAGGGAGATTGAAATTTAGCAGGTAAAAGGCCCTTACTTAGATTTTTGTTCCCTATTAATAACTTCAGAGAGATTAAATCAAATACGTACCTTTAAAAAGGTTGGGATAGATAATAGATTAGGGTTAATATGTCTGCATATGTTTTGCCAAGAGCCACTGAAGCTGTGTGGCGTTCAGAAGATCACACTGACATACCCTGTTCTCGTTTCTTCCTGAGTGTAACTTGCTCTATTTTCCTTACATTAGTTGTGAAGAGAAGTGGTGGGAAAAGAAGTGGGCGCGGTGTCCTGGCTGCTTCTGCAGCTTGTTTTTTGGTTGGGCCTGTCTTTTCCCTTGGGTCGCTGGAAGCTTTACTCTTACCTATGTGGCTTCCAAAGTATCATCTTATTTAGGCTTGATATTTTTCTCACAATATTTTTAAAGGAAGGGAATAAAATTATGGAAGGACCTCTAATTATATATTATCAGGGGTGAGCAAATGCTCTTCTCATCATGTATTATTAATATAGGTGCCTTTGAGCAAATTTAGAGCCATTGTGAGATTTGTCTAGAGCAGTCAGGGATCTGTCAGGACCGAAGATAACTTTTAAAAAGTTTCTGGATTTTCTACTTCATATTACTGGGAAAATTGCTTCGTCGAAAATTATAAATAACACAATTATTACATTTAATTATATTGTATAACTCACATGTAATAGGAAATAAATTCCACCCCTCACTGAACTTGCTTTGTGTGGTTTACTTTTAGAATTGCATGCAAATCACTTAGACAGCATCTTTTTTTTCTTTCAATTTTTAATATTTTTTAGTTAGTTTTTTTTTTTTTTTTTAATTTATCTTTATTGATTTCAGAGAGAGGAAAGGCAAGGGAGAGAGAGAGATAGAAACGTCAATGATGAGAGAGTCATTGATCGAGCCCGTAACCCGGGCATGTGCCCTGACTGGGAATCAAACCCTGATCGCCTGGATCCTAGGTCGATACTCAACCGCTGAGCCACGCCCGGCCGGGGTAGACAGCATCTTTGAGGACCACTAGTATTCTTCAAGTCAGACCTCACCACCTTCCTCAGCTCCTCAGCAGACCCTTGCTTTTTGTTATGCTACAAAGTTTTTAGCAGTCATGAATCATAAGGATCTTAACATGTAGAATGTTTTTTCAAGTACAAATGCTAGAAGGGCACTAGGCTTTAATCATCAGAATCCCTTGAATAAAATTTAGTGCAGGACTGTAAATGACAAAGTAAGCATGAAACTTAGAAAAAAATTTATTTACAAAGTGAATTATTCAGACACAGAGGAAAATTTTCCTATTTTATATTCAGTAGAATCTGTAATTGGTTTTTCTTTGAGCCACTGCCTTTATGTTTAGTTTGTAGTAAATACTATGTAGTGGTGATTCCAAAAGTGTGAATTCTGGAAACAGAAATAGGCTTGAAACCCAGCTGCTCCTAATCACTACCTTAACCTAATATTTCTGACCTTCAGTTGCTTCCTTGTTGAAGTGGGGCTAAAATCGCGCACTTTATAGAATTGTTGTGAAGATTATGCTAATGAGCATTAAGTAGGTAAAAGCAGAGAGCCAGTGTCTGGCAAAAAGCAAGTATCAGTAACCCCTTGTTCCTTCTTTCTCCCTCCTCTCATTATGTCAAATGATATTTATGAACAGTAAAAGTTACCTTTTAATTTGTATGAAGGTCATTAAGAAATGAATATTTTACTGAAAAGACTACTTAAAAATCAGTATTATTTACAACATAGGAGTACTTTTTAATCCCCAAATATTTAGTAAGTTGAGTTACATACTTTGTATGAAATTAGAAAACCAAATAACCACTATAAGGAAACCCTTTTTTCCTTCATAATTACACCTTTGTAGAAATATTATTTAAAAATAATCTTATTTTATCTAATTTAAAAATATCCCTTAAAAATAAACAGGTTGATATAAATTATTCATGTTAACTTTCTTTTTTTGTTTCTTTAAGATCCTGGTCATTGCCAATGGTGGTTTGGGTAATGGCGTGAGTAGGAACCAACTGCTCCCAGTGTTAGAGAAACTCGGACAGGTGGATGCTCTCTCAATGCCACCTAATAAGCCCTACTCATTTGTAACATACAAAACTGTAGAAGAATCCAAGAAAGCCTATGCTACCCTCAATGGACAAAAAATAGTGGATGATTTAGGACAAAAGATCATTCTGTACTTGAATTTTGTGGAAAAAGGTATTATCATACAGGTATCTTTTTAAAACTAGTTCTTGCTTTTGTTTGAGTTTACTTTTTATACCTAAGTATGTATAGATAATCCAGCTTGTTTATAGAGGAGCATACTGTAGATCTTAGGAGAAACCTTCTTTCTTTTTTTTTTTTTTACTTTAATTTTTTATTTTCCAATTACATTTGACATACAATAATATATTAGCTTCAGGTGTACAACCCAGTAATTAGACATTTATATAACTTACTAAGTGATCACTCCAATAAATCTAATATCCATCTGACACCATAAATAGTTATTACAATATTGTTGACTATATTTTCTATGCTGTACTTTACATCCCCATGTCTGTTCTGTAACTACCATTTTGTATTTTTTAATCCCTTCACCTTTTTCATTCATCCCTCCTGCCCCCTCCCACCTGGCAACTGTCAGAATGTTCTCTGTATCTATGAGCCTTTTTCTCTTCTGCTTGTTCATTTATTTTCTTTTTAGATTCCACATATAAGTGAAATTGTCTGGCATTTGTCTTTCTCTGATTTATTTCACTCACCATAATATCCATGTTGTTGCAGATGGCAAGATTTCATTTTTTTTTAATGGCTGAGTCATATTTCATTGTGCATATGCACCACTTCTTCTTTACCCATTCATCTATGGATGGACACTTACGTTGCTTCCTTACCTTAGCTATTGTAAATAATGCTGCAATGAGCATATGGATGTACATGTCTTTTCAATTTAGTGTTTTGGGTTTCTTTGGATACATACCCAGAAGTGGAATTGCTGGGTCCTTCTTTGTCTCTTGTTATAGCCTTTTTTGAAGTCTATTTTGTCTGGTATAAGTATTGTTTCCCCAGCTTTTTTTTTGTTTGCTTGTTTCCATTTTCATGAAATATCTTTTTCCATCCCTTTTACTTTCAGTCTCTGTGTGTCTTTAGATCTGAAGTGAGTCTCTTGTAGACAGCATATGTAAGAGTTTTGTTTTATCCATTTAGCCTCCATATGTCTTTTGATTGGAGCATTGAATCCATTTGCATTTAAAGTAACTGTTGATAGGTATGTATTTATTGCCATTTTATTATTTATATTTTTTATCTTTTTCTTCTTCTTCTTAAAGAAGACCCTTTAACATTTCTTGTAATACTGGTTTGGTGGTGATGAACTCCTTTAGCTTTTTCTTGTTTGGGAATTGTCCTTCAATTTTAAATGATAGCTTTGCTGGGTGGAGTAATCTTGGTTGTAGGTCCTTACTTTTCATCACTTTAAATAGATCTTCTCAATGCATTCTGGCTTACAAAATTTTTGTTGAGAAATCAGCTGACAGCCTAATGGGAGCTCCCTTGTAGATAACTGACTGTTTTTCTCTTGCTGCTTTTAAGAGTCTCTCTGTAATTAACCTTGGGCATTTTAATTATGGGTGTGTCTTGGTGTGGGCCTCTGGATTCATCTTGTTTGGAACTCTGTGCTCTTCCCAGTCTTGTATGTCTATATCCTTCACCAGGTTAGGGAAGTTTTCCGTCATTATTTTTTCGTGTAGGTTTTCAGTTTGTTGCTCTTTCTCTCCTTATGGTACCCCCATGATGTGATTATTGGTATGCTTGAAGTTGTCCCAGAGGCTCCTTAAACTATCCTCATTTTTTTTGACTTTTTTTTTTTTTTCTCTTCTGATTGGGTGTATTTTGCTTCCTTATCTTCCAAATCTCTGGTTCGATCCTCTGCTTCATCTACTCCACTGTTGAATCCCTGTAGTGTATTCATTTCAATTAATGTATTTTTCATTTCTGACTGGTTCTTTTTTATAGTTTGTCTCTGTTTTTATGTTTGTATCTCTTTGTTGAAGTTCTCACTAAGTTCGTCTACTCTTCCCTTGAGTTCATTGAGCATCCTTATAACCAGTGCTTTGAACTCTGCATCTAGTAGGTTGCTTGTTTCCATTTTGTTTAGTTCTTTTTCTGGAGTTTTGTTCTGTTCTTTCATTTGGGGTGTGTTTCTTTGTCTCCTCATTGTGGCAGCCTCCCTCTGTTTGTTTCTGTGTATTAGGTAGAGCTCCTATATCTCCTGGGCTTGGTAGAGTGGCCTTATGTAGTAGATGTCCTGTAGGATCCAGTGGCACAGCCTCCTTGATTACCTGAGCTGAGCACTCCAGGTGCACCCCTAGTATGGGCTGTGTACTTACTCTTACTGTAGTTGAGCCTTGATTGCTGTTGGCACCTCAGTAGGAGGAATTTAGCTTCGACCACCATGGAGGATCAGTTGTGTAGGAGCCCACCCTATAGATCAGGACTTCAGCGGGGCTGCTGGTGCTGGGTGAGTCCACCACTTGAGTGTGTTCCTTGTGGAGGTGCTTTAACATGGTCTGAAGCTGTCCACCTGGTCTGCTGGCTCTGGGGCCTCTTGGGAGGTACAGGCCAATGTCCACTGCCACCTGTGCTCTGCCTGGGCCCACCTGACATGAGCTACTAGTGATCTGCTACTAAAGTGATCTGCTACTAAAGATGGCTGCTACTTGTGCTGGCCTTGGAGGTGCCCAGGAGAGGCCAAGCTTTGAACCAAGGCTGACTGCTCCTGTGTCAGGCCTGGGGTCACTTAGAGGTATGAGGCATGCTGAGGCCAAATGCTGTTTGTTTGAGATTTTAGGAAAGTCTGGAGCATGAGCTAAGATAGGCCATTTGTATGGAAAAACCACTGGAAAGGGCTTGGGTGGGCCTGCAAGTTGGGTGGGGTAGGGTCTCAGGGAATCTCCAGGCTGGGGTGTACAATGGTAGTCAGGTTGATGGAGACTCATATATGGTACCCCCCTGCCATCTCTGTTGGGGGAGGGCTTAGAAAAGTCACAGTAGCATCTGCGAGCACTTCTGTCTAGGAGAAAGCTG